TTTTATTTCTTTATATTAAATAAGATATTGTAATGCTTGCTCTAATTTTTAAAATTACTCTAAGATGTTAAGTGCTGTCGTTTTTATTAGAAATTGCAACTAGGATGAAGGGAAAGGGAGAACGTAATGATATCATCGCTGAAAGCGGACGTTTTTAATTTAAGACGATCAGAAATACGTTTACGCACCGTAAACCTTAGTGTACTCGCTTGGTACACTTCCTGGCACATGCTCTCTTAAAATAGGCCTTACGTTTAGGAACAAGCGAAGAGGAGAAGCCTGGCTGGTGCCAAGAACTGGAAACTTTGGAAGTCCGCTATGGATCACTAATTGAATCCATCAGTAGTGACTGTGTTAGATATTATTAATAGAAACTCGAGTAAATTCTTCTCTCACATAGAGAGAGTAAACAACGCGTAGAAACGCACATTCTACGGAGATTACAATTAATCGGTGAAAAATTTATTTGTGTCATCGAGACGAGAGTTACTGGGAATAGATAGAGAAAGATAATTTAATTCTCTCGGACACGTGCCAGTTCACCGGATCCTGATACATGCCATTCATCTAACGTACTGCCAATTAACCGCGGGTCAAACGCGTCGAGCCCGACGCGTCGCGAAAGGGCGGCAGGGAAGTGGGAAGCGAAAGTTAAATAGCGATTTAGGAAGTGAAAAAATTCCATGTTTTTATATCGCTGCTGACGAAACGTCCAGACCTTGTGCAGACGACACGCTTATGTAAATTTTTTTACAAAGAAACTCGTGGGATGACTTAACGACGAAGCAAGGAATTTCCGTGAGCGAGTGATGAATGCGAAGATCGAAGCGATAGCCGTGATTGAAAGTCAAGTCTAACTAGTAAACATTGTTGCACTTACCTGAATTGGCCGCGGCAGGTGGCCGTGGAAGACACTCCGGTTTGGTACATATCGGCTTCAAAGGACTGTCCGTCACGGTCTGCGGCCTGAAGACCGCTCGAAATCTTGAGAAACACGAACAAAACTTCCCCATTCCGTTTTTTTTTTTTTAAATCAACTAACGATCAGAGTAATAATTTAGGTTTTCACAATCGCGGCTCAAATTCGAACGTCTTCCGACTTCATTTTAATTCTTTATACTTCTTCGCGTTACGAAACATTTTCAAATTACCGGGTGGAAATCGTCCGAAGGAAAACTTGTATCGCGCTATTAATTACTCGATCAAGGGCATCTACTTTGACTAAACCATTAATAAATGTAGTATTAATAGAAATGCAGGATGATTCTTCTGACAAGAATTCTTAAATACTTGTTCAATAGATCAAAAGTATTTGATAACGAATCAATGTTTCGATGATATCACGTCGCATTTTGAACGCGTACGCGGACTGATATAGACGACGCGTTGCATCGATCTGCTCGCGAGTAGATGAGCGACTGTCAGAGAATCAGCTGGCGACGTGAGTGATGCGAAGAACGAGAATTCGCCGGGGGTTTCGGCCAATATTCAGGCAATCGCGACTTATCTTCTTATGATTTGTATCTAATTGTATCTGTTTGATTTTATTTAGGGAACGAGAACCCCGAATTTAGCTTGTACGTAATGTTTTTTATTCGGTAATAATCGTGAATGGTCCTTCGAAGAAAAATGTATTAGGTATCGCTTCAATCGAAGCATTAACGATTTCATACGCGTTACAACTATAATGCTTCCTGTTACCGGGAAGATGAAGTCATGCGTCCACGTCGACTTTCATTCTGCGAACTTTTTGAATCCGCTATCTATTTAAAGACCATTATTTTTAAGGGGAAACGTCATTATCACCAGGTTTCTCGGTAAGAATTTGTAATAGAGATAAGAATATGAAGCGGTTTGGGAATGAACGGAGCAACACCTTCTAAGTACCGTTTTTATTGACACAGATTTTACAAAAGTTCGTTTAAAATCATTATAATTATTGCAGATAATTAAGCATTCTAAGCATCTTTATACATACTTATATCAAATACTACTTACAATTGTTTAAAATATTAGCTCTATATAAACTCCGTTTGATCACTATAATCCGGTTCCGGGTCCCTATTATCCTCTATTTTAATAACGGATTGCACCATGTCATCCACCAGAACGTATAAATATCTGTACACGTATTTGCCAGACTGGTCCTGCAATTCAATTTCGAATTAACAATCGAGAAAGCACCTTTCTAACATTTCTCGATAAGCTCTTAACGTTTTTTAGTTTAAAGTAAATTCCAGAGAGCTATTCAGTGAAATGCCAACATTTAATAAAATAAATATTACAAAGTGTGTGATTCTTACTTCTTGCACTTCCAAATTTACGGTACCGCGCCTTCTTATGCCTTGAATATAAAACTTCATTCGCATATGACGTACGTTATCCTTCATAAACGTTATATGACTGAAAAATTATGTTGTCTTTTATTATAAAGAATTATGATGGAGATTAATGATAAATATGTACATTTCTATTAGTCTTTTTACCGTATGTGGCTTCTGCGTCCGCGTCTACTTTCCTCTCCGTATGCTTTTATCGGCTCCCCCAAAGAATCCCTTACTTTTTGGTTTTTGATACAGACATCTAATGCTTTACTGTAAACGTTGTTCGGGCTTTTACTAGAAAACAGTTCATCGAAAATCATGTAAAACATGAAAGCTGTCACTCCTACACCGCCGATGATCACACCTAAGTACCCAGCCGATTTTGTGTTTTCTTTAACTGAAACAAACATCATATTCAAACTGCATCGCTTATTAGAATAATGAATAAGTGTCTACATGTGCATATTTGAAATTTACCTACATCCGCAAATGTGACTTGCATCTTATTCTCGTGCTCGAGGGTGTCTGCCTTAGCAATCGATTTCCTTGTGCAGTAGAATGCATTTTGTCGGAAATTACATTTAATGTTAAAATTCGAGAGAACGGATACATTTCTTAAACTAGATGCTGCTGCGAATCTTTTATATGAAATGTAGTTTATTACTCTTGTGGATGCCATTACCTAAAACGAATACTACTTAAAGATTATAATAATTATTTCAGATATTGAACACCCGTGAAAAATTTCGCATACGAATTTAATTAAATGTGCATATTTTGCTTAATCATTAATCTACGATTTATATTAAACTTATGTCACTTTTATGATAATTAAAACAACTGTAAACATTGTGTAGATTTTTAAATGTTTACATACCAATGTACAAATGAGAAATATTTCATTTGTGGAAAGTATTAAGTATTCACGAATAAAAATTAATAATGCTGTCTCGAAGATGACTCGATTTTAAACGTCGCTTTTGCAATACATGATCATGTTTGGTTAAGTTTCATGATCTTGTGTGGAATACGAACGATGAAATAATGTTAGGTTATGAAGTCGCGAACGTGACATAACCTATTTTATATACATATCAACAACGATCACAGTCCGTTGGCACTTTTGAATTAAAGCTCCCCGAAACCAATTTGTGCAAGGAAACGTGGATTCTAGTCGTAAAAGCGTGGACAAAATTAACATTCTTAATGAAGACCACTCCGCATCAGAGGCTAGTTATGGTTGGAGATCGCGACGGGTAAATATTGCCAATTCGTCGTATAGATACTTCTCAATTCTATATTGCAATTTATTGATTCGGAAGTTCAAGTATGAATACTAACAATTTTTATACACAATCTTTCTCGCGATATTATTATATTATATTATAATTAATAATCGGTCTGGTACCTGGATTTTATTTCATGGAATTAATCACAATTTTAACCAGTTTGTGTTCTTTTTTTAGATTAAAGGAACTGTTACGTCGTCGATTAGTTGAATGTGGATGGAGAGACCAAGTGAAATTAATCTGTAAAGAATTAATCAAGGAACAAGGCCAAGATGTTACTTATGACAAATTACTTTCTATGGTCACATCTAAGGCGAGGACGCTAGTCCCTGATTCGGTTAAAAAAGAACTTTTACAGAAGATAAAAAATCAATTGATTGCTCAAGAAGAGAAACTAAAGATGTAATAATGTAAAACCAAAGAGTTGTTTATAAAATAGGTATCGTTCGACAAATGTACAAATGCTCTCTCATAATATTTCAACATACAATATCTTTGTCACGTGCTAACACTATCGTATTAAACATTAACAATATAAAGGATTATAAGTTGCGTATAAATTGTATGAAATCTTCGGCTGTAAATAATATGTATAAGTGTGAATGGATTTATTTATAATATACATCTGGATAAATAAATAATTTTATCTCACAAGAAGTTGTTAAGTGACGCCAGTCTACCACCTACAAAAATATGTTTCATTATTTTTTATGGGAATATACTGAATGTAATAGTAATACAAAATTATACAACTACCCAAAATGACTCTTGTATCACTTGGCATGCAGACATGCGAAAATTAAATTTTCCCTCTCTACTCACTAATGCAGTATAAGTGCTAACTCTCGTCTAAAAACGATTTTATTATTTTCTAAAAAATTGATTTTACACTTCTGGAAATTGTAGCTTTAATTTGAATGACGTTTTATTAAAATTGCTGGAGTGAAAATCACATAAATATTAAGATTTGATGAAAATTTGTCGTCAGATGGCAGCTCTAAGAGTTTTTGCTAACACTGGATATAGTGCGATGGAGATAACAGAGTTTTTAGAGTTCAAAGAGCCGCATAGGTGCTAACAATTTTTGTGTCAATAGTTTTTTTAATTAATAAACGTACAGTGATTGCTTGAATTGTCTCATAACGCATAAACAATGTTGATTAAAGTGAAGGTAAGAGCGGTGACCGGCAGAGACGGAGCTGCGACATTTCTAACCAGTACTGAAAATTTACTCTAACCTTGTTTCAGACTCTTACTGGAAAGGAGGCAAGTAACTGCAAACTAATGTTATATAGCTTCCAACGCGATTTCACAATTAATTGCATTCAACGATCTTTGCCAATATGTATTTAGAGAAAACGAGATATTTATAACAAGAATACTCGTGTCACTGAGAGCTGCAACATTTTGACATTTGATTCCACTTAATCCTTTACCATTAATAAATTCAAGCTACTTTTACGTATCAAATGTAGATCTTAATATTTATTAACGTTCGTTGCATTTAATGAATAGACCATTTTTGTTTAATAAATCTAAGTTTAATAACAATCATGGATATCGTTATTCTCAGATCGAAATAGATATAGAACCTACAGATAAAGTAGAAAGAATCAAGGAAAGAGTGGAGGAGAAGGAGGGGATACCGCCTCAACAACAGCGATTAATATTTTCTGGAAAGCAAATGTAGGTATTTCAACATTGAAGTAATTTAACGTAAGAGAATCATGTTTCTCCTTTTCTTGCTTTATTCAGTAATTTTTCTGGTATGAAATTCCTTGAAACAAGGCGTAACACACAGTCCTACATTACAATAAGCACAATAGTAACGAGACTCTTTTCGTATCCCCTTCCATGCACAAATTTTACACCTTCTCGTTGCGTTCATCTTCTTTGGTGTCGACGGAACGTACTCTGGATAATGACTTTCTAGAGTCCTTATCAATTCTGACAGTTGACTTGGTCTTCTTGTCCCTGTTCCATTAATCACGATGTTTTAACATTATTTTCTTTTCCCTCTGTTAAATATCTTACGTTTATGTAAAAAAATAAAAAATAGGAATATCAATCATCGGTTTTGACTCTAAGTTTCATTATCGAAAACAGGAGTAACGCTTGAAGCTACAAAAGAACTGTTTGTTGTATTCTAGGAATGATGAGAAAACGGCGCAAGATTATAAAGTTCAAGGCGGATCGGTGTTGCATTTGGTACTCGCATTAAGGGGGGGTTTATAATTGTGGCATTCCTTCCTCCGGAATGTGTGTGTGTGAATATCGAGGATTGTATAACAGAACAGCAACAACAAAACAAAACGAAATAGGACGCTTTCTGATGTTACATTCGCGCTGTGTTTGCAACGACTTAACGATCGTCTTTGTATACTTCTATGTGATTGAACGTTTATATTTAGAATTGAAATAAATATTTAATAAAATAATGTAGTTATAGAAAAAGGAACCTGGTATGTACTTGTCTTAACCGATCATCTATTAATTACGATTTTCCCGCTTTTTTCCCTGCCCGTCGAAGCGAGACCCGATCCGAATTCGCTAATTCAACCTTTTCTCTTCGCCTTATCATTAGTTTTTATGATATTTGCTGTTGTGAGTCGCCAAGCTCCATTTAGTTTTGAAAAATCGTCGACAAATATTGCACCACGCAGCGGAGACCGGCAGCTCCTCGTGTTTCGATGTAACGTGCCGTAGAAGAGCGCTCTGCCTCGTAAACGTTCCGCCGCATATATCGCAGATCGATTTTAACGAATGCACACTCCGCGTCTCTTGTATCCTGATCCTCTCCCTCGCCTCTACAAATTTATTTCCTCCTATAACTAACGCTGCCACAATACTGCGTCACGGTACAAATATTCGTCACGAATTCTTACAAAAGCTTTGCTTCAACCGGCTTAAGAGAAACGAATGTTAACAGTCGATCATCGAGAACTACAAGTTACTTGTTCATTGTGCAAAATTGATAATGTAAGAGAATTACGGAGACGGTGTTTCGTCACATTATTACAGCCCAAATACAGCCCAATGTCTAAATGTCGAATTCAATGAATAGTATTTGATGAACGTGTAACGTGCTTCAAGAATCTTAGGTAATTCGACAGATCTGTGTCACGTGGCGAATCGGAAGGATACAATGGCCGATCTCGCGTTAACTGATGATGGAACGTTTTGCTTTATGTAGAAAGAAATAGGAAGAAGTTGAAAAGTACATTCACACACCAAAGGCAGAACAAAACAGTCGATGCAAAACATGTCTGTTATGTATGTATGTGCTTGTATTTCCGACTCACTGTAAATAAATGTTACACCACCATCACCATCGAATTGAACGTGCCATATTTTGTTATATGCGTAAAATTTTCTGTAAAAGGTACCAACACTGAAGCTTCGATTGTAAATCGATTTATTTACATTGCTGTAATAACATTTGAAAGCATACTTTTATGTCACTTCTTAACTCACAAGCTCACAATTATTAGATGTACGTAACACATTTTTATTTTTACTTTTTTCTTCATTTGTCTGAAATGAAACGGAGAAGAAGCTTGCAGCTAATGTTGCCGGTCACATACATAATCTACGAGCCACGCTCGTGTTCGTTCCCGTTTCGCGTCAAAGCACGTAGTTCGTTTGTAATAATTATTACATTTTTTTACTAAATAAAAGATTCGTCAGAACACAATACCCGCGCGTATAGTTTCTCTGCGAAACCTTGAAACCTGTGAAACAAAAATTTTTATCGTCATTTAATCTCGAGTCAATGAATTGCGTTGAAACCAATTTGGCAAACTATTAATTAACTATCGTGCGGTACACCGAATACAAAATTCACAGTTCGTCGCTCTAAAATCTTACTTATCGCCTAACAGAAAAAACGCATTCGCAATTGAAGTACACGTTTCTCGCCTTAACATTTAAGTAATTACTCAAAACTCGAGCAAAGTTCGCTTCGATTTCTTATTTTTTTTGTTTTTTCTTTTCTTAAATCCTCTCTCAAAACTTCGTGCGATCCTCAACGACGAATATCTACGTTTTAAAAGCTACGTAATTCTACGATTAAGTGCTTCATTGTGCATAAACACGTTCTCGTCCTCTTTCGTTTATTTTTAATCGAACACCGAACGTCTCCTTTAAATATAATTCGATACTGATAATTGAAACGAAATGCTTGTCATCTCGTGAATCAAATCAAATAAATAAATAAATATATTTTTAATTTAAAATATATTCTTTATGATTCCCATTTCAGGTGCACGCAATCGAAACGATCGAGTTTTTTGAAAAAATCCTAACGTTTATTTCCGTTTACTTTAGTTACGTGTACACAGTACAATAATTTTTATCTTTCCTAAAGTATTATCGATTAATTACGCTTTACTTGATAGTAATCGTTTTTTACGAAGTCCCATATATATCATCCTCTTAATCCTGGATTAAATAGAATTTACAACACTTATAGCCCGCAGGATCGTCAATTTGTTTAATCTCTTTCCGCTGAACATCGCGACGTTCCTCGGCTCTGCGACGAAAACGAGTTCCACGCGAATAAACAAAAAAGGAGACACGATGAATTTCCCCAAATCGTATCGAAACAAATTATACGCAATCATCGTACGGCGTTATATCGGTGAAGATCGTTTGGAATTCTCGTTCTAATAAATTTTCTACAAAGACAATGTTTACACGAAGCCACCGTCCAAAAGGAATAAAATCTCTCTGTTATGTTATCTCTTATAATCATCTCTTATATGCGTTCAACTGTGGTAAACATCTGGAAAGTTAATATATTGTATGTAAACTGTAAAACTAGATAATCATGTCTGTGTGTGGTACGTCTGTAAGGCACTGTCTATATGCGCTCCCGTCGGAGTGGCTAGTTCTGATCTTGATCGCGAAAGGAAAATCGGTCACGTGCGAACAACAGACGTGTAAACAGAGTCAGTGTAATCTACGGCCAATTGTTCATTCTAAGTCTATTATAGTCCCTTTCTCAAATCTCCTTCGATTCGGATTACATTTCGGTTTAGAAAATGTTGCTCGCAAGCATGGCTGCGTGTCCCAGCTTTCGGCTGTGACCTGCGCCAAATAACAAAGTATGTATGTATTTATGTAGGTAGGTAGGTATGTATGTATGTACGTACAATGAAGAACGAAACTCTATCGACAATCTTTAGGACTGAATAACTTTTTCTAAATTTTACTAAACCACTCGATCTTCATCTGTTCACGTTTGCCGAAATCTAAATGTAGTATTAAAGAATTTGGTGGAAATGCAGTATTAAAAACTCTGATTATCATTAATTGTTAATGCGATAATTAAAAAATCTGCAACCCTACAGCTACTCGAAAGAACTCGAATTGTTTGGCATAAATAATTATTCAGGCTCAAAGAGCTTTAGCCCAGTTTCGATCTCCACTGCACGTATTCCTCTGTTCATGCCCAATGGTTTCGAAGATCGTTATGACTTGTGCGGCGACGTATAATAATAATAATAATCGACCTTTCGTTTTACTTTAAGTCGCGTCACCCGCGTCGAAGCGTCATGATTCTTCTACTTGTGATATGGTTTAATTCTGTTATCTATTCAACAAACTAACGTGCACGAATACAAAACGGTTTACACACTATCGGTCGGACAATCAGTATTGTAGACTTTCTTGCGAACACCATTAACAGTTAATAAAGAGGCATGACTGTTGATCAGACGCGTAACAGAGATCTACGTTACAAGTAACGACGCGGTAATAAAGAACGTATCAAGTGGCTTAAAAGTACCGTGCAGCATTGACTAGAATCCTTTCAAAGTAGAGTAGTTTTCTTTCGCTGCACATTCAGAAGCGTAGCGAACAACAAATGAAAAGCAGATCGCGTCCGAGCCAAGGGGTATCGTCGGACGCGCGCGCGCACGATGCCCCTCGGCTAGGAAGAGACTCAAAACTGCGCTGCAACTGTCTCAAAGCCGCTAATGCTCACGGTAAATCGATAAGTACACGCAGCAAAACTAACACTATGTTTTCTCGTATCTTCAATTTGTTATAACAAAAAAGAACAGCTTCATCGCATCGCAGGAGTCTCGAAATGATAAATATGTATATGTATATATATATTTATATATAGTACACACTGCGCTAGAAGTTATAAAATAATGAGATCGGGCAAAAACGAGAGAAGTACAAATTAATCGAGTCTCATGTTACTGTCCTCGAATTTTCTCATTGGACTTCGCGTCGGTTAATACTAACTGTAAGAATCACGTGTATCGACAAATATTCTGTTCCAGGATATTGTATAAACGATATTCTAATACTGGCACGCAGGAAATAAAAACAGCTGTACAGTTGTCCTCGAAATCAGTGTGTACAAATATCAAAAGATATGGCAATGGTCGCACTAAAACTACCGACGATTGATCATCCACCGTAAACCGAGGCGACATAAGCAGAATACTGTAACATTTCTCTATCCAACGCGAACGTTAAAGTGTTCACGATTTATGGTTGTACCCTGTCATTCTTTTTTCATCATTGCACAATGCACGTTGTGCGTTTTCGACTTGCTAGAATTGTATTGACTTACAATTAGAGTAGCGTTATTACTTAAATTAACTTCTTTTTATATATATATTATACATATGTATTATATATTATATTTGATAAGCTATCAATGGATTCTCTTATTTTATTTACGCTCCTCGATTCATTTGTAGATAAATTAGATAATTTGTCGCTGTGATTCAAGGTAAAACGAATGATCATTAATAATCTTGATCAATCTTTTTAATCGTATGATTTAGAATTGTACAAAGCTAATATTGAATTTTTATATTGATCATGTGAACAACACACGTGCAGATATTGTGAACTATTGTATTAAAATAATTATTTGTTACTTAGTATTGCCAATGCGACCCCTGTTTATGGTATCGATAAAAAAGAGAAAGTAAAGCTAAAACTGTTTCGTGAAGTTTGAGACAAGATAACACAAAAGAATAGTAAGGTCATCGTAACCATCTTCGGTAGTCTTAGCGTTAAAGGGGAACTTACCGAAAGAAAAAACCTTCGACATCGGCGACGAACAGCTAACAATGAAAAACGGAGAATAAAAAAAGAGAGGGAAATCTGTCTTAACTCTAGAACGACACCGTGGTTCCTGTTTGAAAATTAAAATCGTCCTCGAGTATCTCAAGGAATTTCTTATCGATTAGAATTATAGGGGGTCGTCCCCACAGCGTCGTTCCAGGCAACAGAGAATTAAAACGGAGCGAGAGGAAAATAAGAACGCGAGATTCTTTCGACGCGAACGGAGAAGAGAACCGCGTGGGTTGGGGAACCAGGGCGGAGCGAGAAGCAATGTTTCTCGGCGCGCATGTAACGTTCTCAGAAAACAAAAATGGAAAAGTGAAAAAAAAAAGAGAAAAAAAAGAATAGACGGCAGAGAAAAACGTTTACGAGTCCAATTCGTTTTTCGAGCTGCGCTGCTTCTGGATCGTTTTTTGCCATTGCATGTTATGTTTCAGACGCATGTGACGTCGCAGGTCGGTTCTACGACTGAGAGTGGTGTGACATAGGATGCAGGTTGTCTGGTTGCGATGCACTTCAAGGTGCTGGGTCAGCGAAGCAAGGTGCTTGTAAACGCTTCCGCAGAGTCTGCACGAAAAACGCCCTGGACCCTGCATCACCACTTGACCAGTTGTATCGCCAACATGCTTCCGATTGCGTCCCACCCCCCCTGCAACACATTAACAGCCACGTGACCCGCCGATTCCTTTATCATTCATCGTTTTGATATTGGTTTTTTTTTTTGTCTTTTTCTTTTGTCTAAATTTCAATTACAATTCACAATGAAAACTAACAGGGGGACAGTAACACGTAACACAGACTAGATCGATATTCCTCTAACTGTGCTGGATGTGACCACCTTTCTGTTTTTTTCTACCCAATACCTCCGTTGATCCGCGCTTCCTCTCAGAGCTTAGAACCGGCAACGAGCTGTCCACCGTCGAACAGATCGCGATTGTTCACGTGCCGAACACCTATTTTTGCTTAGTAAATTTTTCTGCAAATCCGTCAGCCTGTCTAATGTCCAACGGTACGCAACAATTCGCTCTGCGAGTCGCAGCATCAACCAAGGATTTAGGAACGTAATTCTCTTAAGAGTATTCTTCACTTCGTTCTATTTCGTACAACAACCTAATCTTGTGATTCTTGCGTATCACTACGTGTCATACATACACTATCGTTATGGTCTTTCACTGTCCATTTAAATGAATGAAACATGAAAACCTATCGATATTTTCAATCCCGACACCATATAGATAGAATTTTAAAGATCAGGTCGAAGTCTTTTTGAATTCATTCTTTGAAACATTTAGTAATCACTACGGTGTAAGTCAGTAAAATTATCCACTGGTCTTCGATTTCATTATACAGTGTCCCAGAAAAAGTGTTAAAACCGAAAAGGGGTTATTCTGGAAGAGTGTTTCTCTCTTCGGCTCTAACACTTTGTTTGGGACACCTTGTATAGCTTGATAAGAACACATTTTAATTTGTCAAGATTCATTTAATGAATTCTATCCTATAATAAATTCGTGCGCAATACGTTTTGATAAAATGGCACTTCTTACTGACTCACCCTGTATAATAAATTAACTAAAATAACAAAATACTTGGTTGAATGGGAAAAAAGCCTGACCCAACGTTAAACGAAGATATCGATATGGTCATACAAATGAGAAGCGTGAAAACGTTAAAGCATAATTAATTGACATGGCGTAACGAAAACTGGTGAAATTGTGTGTCGATGTTTAGAACGGTATCGTTAATCGGTGTTAATCAATATGGTTATAGTTCATTTTTTTTTTGCGGACACGACGAAAATCCGTGAAGCCAAGGATCCGAATCGAATCGCATCGCGTCGTATCTTAATTGCAGATATATACTTACATCGTTTCGCGAGTCGAGGTAACGAATTCGTTATTTTCGAGCTTAGCGATATAAAAAATTCTCACGTCTCGTTATTCGTTTGAAGAAACAACTCGGCTGCATTCACATTTTTAAACTTTATTCACACATATTTCTTTTTTTTTTTTACTTACATCGTTAACTTGCATAAGCCAAACATAAGATTGTGTAATGATATATTATAATATTTATATATATATATATTTTTTAATATTTTTTTATATTTATATATGTATATTTATTTATATATATATATATAAGTTTCCTATTTTTATAAATAATTAAAGAAAGAAATATCAATTCTTTTCTAAATTAATAATTGGCAATCTTGTACTTATTCGTATTGTGGCTTCCGAGGAATGTGCACATTCGTTTCGTTTAAATTAAACTCTACACGTCTACCATACACAAGTGTACGTGTGAATAAACGCCCGTCACGTTTTAACGCAATAGCCCGCTTCGTAAAAGAGCTCCTCACATAAATTAAGCTAAATGAAAATGAAGAAACGAAATCAACGTGTGTAGGAATAATGTCGCACTAAACGTTGACTCGTGCTTCTAGCGAAACGCTAACTTTGGTAAAAAAAAAAAGAAAAAATAATGGGGGGAAGAAGTGGGAAAACCCGGAACCATACAAAATTGTAAACGTGCAGGTTGTGACCGTAAAATACGTAACAAGCACGATGTACGTAACGCATGCGATTGCAAACTGTAACACAAGCATTGTCAACCTGCGTGGAAAACATTTTGCCTTTTTTGCACGATTAAAAATTTTCACTAAATCGCACATTTACTAACGCGCTGCTTTTCTCTTTTATATTTTACATAAATATTATTGTATATAAAATTTGCAACTGCGTTCTCAAACCCGGTGACTACCGGCATCGTATTCACTGATCTGTACAAAACATTAGACAGTGGATGTGCATCAGCGGATGCGATGCAAATAGTTACTCGATTTCAAAACGTGCTCAAGTAATAAGAATAAAGAATTTCTATAAAAAAATCTTTTTAAGAATATAAAATCAGCGGTGTAATTAACATGGCGATTGATTGACGATCAATTGTGCTAAATTGTTCCCATTCTGACGTTCCAGTGAACTAGATTCGATTTGTACTTGGCCGCGTCACAATCAAGCTTCGCATGTTCGTCCGTTCCGCAACGCGTCGTCAAAGACTTTGGCATACAGCGAACAAGAGATCATTATTTAACAGGTCTTCCGTCTCGTTGAATAATAGCCTCTTCGTGATTGCACAGAAAAAAAGTAAAATAAAAAAACAACGAGTTTGGCTGGGAGCCAAGGCTTCCTTTGGGTTAAAATTAGGTAATAACGAAATGAAATTAAAACTAGAAAAACAAACAATATAAGCATAATAAAATGAACAAAAATTAGGTAACATAAAGATAATATATATTAAGATAACTTTTATATCCTTATCCGGGATAGACGTGTAAATGAAAATAAAGTATCTACGTTGAATATTACATAGATAATTAATGTATAGTACGCGAATATTCGGCAAGCCTCTGAGCTTATAACTAAAAACAGTACATGAGTATGTTCAGTATCGTAAACGCGGTATAATATGGCCAAATTCTAGTCCTATACTCCGAACGAATGAGCAAGTTGGATGTCGATCGCTGAAAGTAAAGGGCAACGATCGCCCAAACGGCACAGAAATTCCGCGCGTTTCGAACAAAACTAGAACGATTAAAATGGCACGCTTTTTCTCTATATATACTATTTAAAATTGTACGTACGATTATTTATTGTTTCGTGCCTCGAGGAAGGTTTCACGACCTCAGGCGACTGAAAGTTAACAATAGAAGCTAGCACAAAAACGAATCCTGAACGAGATGAGACGATTTGGCTAAGAGTCATCAGTCGCGGGGGAAAAAAGAACGATATCGAAGCCTCAGAAAGGACCGCACGTTTCTGTTCAGTCTCACAGTCGATCGATCGTTCAGGATAAATGGATTTTTTTTTTTCCCCTCGTTTCCTCTTTACACGGTTCAGTTTGATTAGATCGAAATTAATGGCCCATTAGATATCTGGTCGTCTCGCTTCACGTTCCGAGGCACAGGGAGAGACCAAACCCAGAAGTTCAGTTTATTATACAATGATTTATAGTCAGCTGACAATAAACTGTTCGATCAAAGTGGACCGTGTAAATTCTCGCGGTCGATCGTACAAAGAAAGATGCACATTCCTCCTTACACGCTATTTAAGTACCGAACTCATTTGACTAGATAAAATAATTTGCCCCACCCCCTCTTCCCCGCTGCGCGTTCTCGGTTACAAAAAACGTTAACATAGACGTTTTGCACGTGATTACGCATACGATCTCTTCGCCCTCTTCTTCAGTTTCTTCTTTGTTCTTCACGATCTACTCCCCTCGTCTACCTTATTCCTCCTCATTCTTCTCCTCTTTATATGCATATACACATATACATAAATGAACGCACACACGCGCGCGTGTGTACAAATGACTAGGTGTAAAGTATAAGACAGGCATTTTAATTCCCGTCGACGACTAGAGTGGAGCAACGTTTAACGTTTACTAAAAAATGTGTACATAGTACGTACGCTAAAAGAAAAAGAAAAGTAGCAAAGAAGGGATTCCGAATTGATCAAATTATAAAATGACTATCTGCTATATAGAACATAGCAGCTCTTTGGTGTCTGTTCGAATCTCGATTTCTTAATTATGCTTGTTTAACGACAGCTAAGCCAATCGATTGGTGTCGATTCATAATCGTCTATCGTTTTTATACAATAAATAAAATATAACTATACTCGCGAGGGAAGGAAATCGGGCGGCCCGAGGACGCGACTAAAAATCAAACGAAGGGGGACTGTCTAAGGAAATTAGGAACAGGGATCGCGACGGTCCGTTTATCCTCTCTTCCGTCGACGGGCTCGTCGGCTCGTGCTCGCGAGCTCACTAAGGAATGGGACTAGAGGTGATCCTCTCGACGCTGCTCTCCCTAATCCGTATGGTGGTGATGGTGGCGTTCGATTCGAGGCCGGCGGTCGGGCTCCCGGCGTTTCGGTGGGCGATCGCGGTCGAGGAAACGGAGATCGGCGTCGGCAAGGACGTGGCGACCGTCGGGCCGTCGATAGGCGCGGTGACGGTGCCGGTGACAACGGGAACGGTGGTGGCGGCGGCGGTGGTGGTCCCGGTCCCGGTCCCGGCTGCCGCGGCGACTGCGGCTGCGGCCGCGGCTGCGGTCGTCCCGACGCCAAGCCAGCCGTGCCGATTTTTTAAATGCCGCTTCATGTGCGTGGTTCGGCTGAGCACTTTATGGCACACCGGACACTGTGTCGTCCCTTTGTGCATGTTCATGTGTTTGTACATCGAGTCCCGATTCCAAAACGTTTTACCGCAGAGTTTGCACGAATGCGACGGCTGTTCGATGACCACCGTACGAGAATCTAAATCAGATATCAAATTCATGGTTGATGGTCTGCGTGCGCGACGATCCAACTCGGAACACCCCGCCTAATCAGATATCTTTCTTTCTAGTTTCGTTCGAATCCCTTTCGTACAATCATTCCTCATCTCTGGCCCGTTGCCCGTACCTTTCCTTCCTTCGTTCCTCATTATGCCTCTCAATCTCTCTCGCTCTCTCTTTCTCTCTTTCTTCTAACGTTATATCTCTGTTTATTCTCTCTTTCTCTCTCTATCTACACTGTCCATTCACTCGATCGCTACTACTCTGCGTCTCCGTCGATCTCGGGGAGACGGTAACAAAAAGGCAGCACACACGATCAGGTGTACAAAAAGGAATATAGGTGATAGACACGCAAGCTCGCAACTCTCCGAGCGAATCATGCTACTGTGAATGTACGCATTGTGGTTACGACAATGTTCGACAGCAAAAACAACGTACGTACGTAAAAAAAAATAAATAAAAACGAAACTGTTCAATGTCCATGCAAGAGAGTATCAGAGGTCCTATGTGGTAGGTACCGATCGGTTGCAGTTAGAAATGCAATTGAAAAATTCACAAAACAAGCATCTTGTAATTACGGTGATCACACGTTTACCTTTGATTATCGCACAGCTACGCGAGAAATTCGGTTTCTCTGTTGCGAGTCGCTGTTAAAAAAGGCAAAACAAGGCCGGCTGTGTGCAGTGAACCGACAATCATGTATTCCTTCTGATATGTTCCGTATGCGAGCGTGGGTTTATAGTTCGTAGCGTGGCTGATACTATCGAGCAGCAATCGCAAACTTTTACATTATGACTCGTGAACGAGTAGAAAATGAACAAACAAAATACTTGCTACGATACTTTTATTTTAATGTACAGAAGAAAAAGAACTGATGGCGGGGAGCTACCAATCTTCTATGTAACAACATATAACATACTTTGTATATTTACAAGCTACGATTGTAAGAACAAACTACGATAATATCAAGTCTTTTATTGAAAGACAGAGGCATCTTTCATTATCTGTTGAGCTAATGACGCGACGGGAGAGATGAGCGACAACAAAGGAGACTTGAGGAGTATAGAATTTATCACCTCTGGAAATAAGTTGAGACGAAGTAACTGAGAAATAAGTAATATGTAAAGAGCCAAATTGTCTATCGATAAGAAATCACATTGGCAATCATATCTAAATATCTCAGTTATTTGTAATGATACCAAAAAATATCAGAGGGGTGAATTGTTTGATTCGAAGGGGCATGTCGACAAACGAAAACTTTTTCTCAAATTCATATTCTTTAGAATTCTTGAGTTGGGATTCTCCTAATATCATGACGTGGTAGCTGGCATCAAGATCAATTCAACAACCTATGATACTGTGACATTCACGTGATCTTAAGTACGAAACATTTTTTAAGACACTGCCAATGTTGCTAAGGAAAAATGGTGCAAAATATGGGTCTTTGTCGTTGTGTTAAAAGATTTTCGTCTTCGTATGTCTTCAGAAAGGTGAAACTTAAATCTAAGTCCCTTTGATTTTCATTTCATTTGATACACAATACACACAAAGTTGTACGAAAACGATCTGAAAATGTTTTAAGGATGTATTGGCTATACAGTCAATCCGAAAAGTTTATGTACCTTAGAAAAATGCTTCAAATAAAAGTTGTTTTCCTTCTAACTTCGATATTTAACGAGTTACGTATGATTATTTGGCATTTTATTGATGTTGACAAAATCCGACTAACCCAGCGTCGAAACGGCGAACTTTTGGAAAAAAATTTCGTTTTTCCTCAATAACTCCTAAACCGTTCGACTTACGGGAAAATTGCATAGGACCTTTCTTGTAGAGGACGACGAGATCTACAATTTATGTATAAAAAGTTTTTGCTAGCATTAATAGTTTACGAGTTATTTGCAAAAAACGAAAAAACAGTTTTTCGCAAATTACTCGTAAACCATTGACGCTAGCAAAAATTTTTTACATGGAAATTGTAGATCTCGTCGTCCTCTACAAGAAAGGTCTGATGCAATTTTCCCGTAGATCTATCCGNCAAATTTTTACATGGAAATTGTAGATCTCATCGTCCTCTACAAAATGAGCCTACAAACATCCCCCTAAGTCCACCCGTTTGGAAGTTATGGGCAAAAAACGAAAATTTCGCAAAATCTGAAGGGGTACCCCTTGGAAAAATCTCGGCAAAATCGAAAATTTTTTTTTTGTTGTTTATTATTAGCAATGTTCTTCCGACGTCTGATTTCTTTTTAAAAAATGCATTTCTAAAGTGCATAAACGTTTGGGATTGACTGTACAGCTAATACATCCTTAAAACAAAGATGAAAGCCCGATTCCCTAGGAATCTTGGTCAATATATATAACACAATTTGTATCTATTTCCCAAGTCATAAACAATTTTATTATCTAGTTCGATTTCGATTTCTATTTCCAGTTTTATTTCTAATTTGCGGCAGTTCATCAGCTATGGTATCTGAACGTTTGCTACCGTGAGTAGATTCTGTTACAGATCCTGCAAATCGTTTCACCCTTGCATGCGGAAAAATGGTTCCTCAACGAGGCTATACGATATACATTCCAGAACAGCGCACCTTCGTACCTAGAGGCGTGAGTCTGCGTTGGCAAACGAGCAGCGGTGGTTGCTAATCTTCTTCTTCTATTGGTTCAACTCGTTGTATTTCATATTTATGCTGCTGCTTTGTTCGTTACAGACATTCATAAGAATTCCCAACAGGCGTTGCATCGGAGGGTGAGCATATAATCCAGTGCTTCCATACACACAGATAATTTCATACCTACTTATGTGATAAATTTTACTCGCACGCTTGGAATTCCAAATCCTATTCTCTCCCTTTCTCCCCTTCTCTTTGCTCTGGTAGCCATAACAATATCGCGGATCTGCCAGCGCATTTCTCAAGCCTTCTTTACTGCAATCGATTCAATGATTTTCAAACGAATGAAACAAAAGGATACATTATAGTTTCTTTTATTAAAACTTCCTAACAGTCGGATACGAAACACGTCCTTCGAGCCTGTCGCTCTCTCTCTCTCTTGATAATCGTATACAAAATATCTTTCAGGAAAATATTAATAAGTATAAATACATACAGCGTATCAACGTAAAAAATATAAAACTAATTAACGCATCGTATCCGTAACAATAACGACAGTCGCATCTCTCTCCAATCTCGCATCTAAATATCACTACGAAATCGAAATTAAAACAATTGCGCGATCGTTGTCAATTAAAAAGAAAAGAATAGACGTTTCTTACGGACACGGCAAAAATAATAATCGTTCGACCCTTCAAATCGCTTACTTCCTAAATAATGTACGCTCTTTTTCTCTCTGAGGAACTTTAATCTTTTTTCTCGCCGATGGCACTTCGTTCTCGAGTCTTGTGCAATCAGTCTGTTGAACGCAAACGATAAACTGATAACTGATGTTAACTATGAAAATCTCGCGTTTCTATTCACAGGCTTAAGTGTCTAGGCGTATCTATAAAAGTTAAATGCGAATAATAAATGAAACGATAGTACGGGTAAAAGTACGATACGAATTTGTCAAAATTGCGACGACGTTCTACGGTAGACTGTGGACACTTTCACGGACGATAAAACCGAAGAGTACGTCAGACAAAATAAAAATAGCTTGTATGACAATTGATTGTATTTCAGTCGATGCTCGAAGAGATTACGGTGTACTACATCAGTAATCTCTTCGAACGAGGCTTTATGTAATTGCGACCGAACTTCACTTACAGGTAAGTACGTTTGATCGAAGAAATTCGTAACAAAAATGGGCCTCGTGAAGGGAGTTCGAGAATAGAATTAACAACCAGATTTCAATAAAATTTCGTACACTGTTCACTTCAAATTGACACAACTTCAAAACGAGCTGCTCAATTTCTGAATGCAAGTTTAATAACAGTTTATTTGCAAAATGTTAAACATTTTAACTTACAGTCAGAAGAACCTCAAGAGCTCTTTTATCAATATACAAAATTTTATTAAAATCTGATTGTCAATTCTACCATCGATAGGATTCCCTTAAAAGAATAAAATAATAGAATATAACAAAATATCCTGCATAAAATAAGCTTAATTGGAGAAATAAATGGAGGGCTTCTTCTCAACAGGAGGAAAAAAAAATAAGACAAAACTGATCAGGATTTGTGTCAAGAATCCTTCGACTACTTCCGGAAGTTCAACTTGGCGTCGACACTGAACGTGCACTTGTGGATGCGCAGTAAATGAGCCTTCATGTCGTAACTTCGACTGAATATACGCTGACAAATCGGGCACCTGGTCTGGCCAGTGTGCAAGTCCTTGTGCAGTGTCAACGACATGGGATGCTTGAAACCCTTCCAACATATTCTACAACGAAATAACAATTCTGCGTCCGTGGACTGACCATAGTCATCGTCCGAGACAAGGTCCGCGGTTCCAGGACCGCTGCCACCACCCCCGCCCCCTGCGGTATCTCCTGCTCGTTCTACAAATAAACACAAATACACAAGATCACCTCTATATTAACCACCATCCCACCGTGCCGTATGCAAACGCGTGTTCCGGCATCAATTCTCTATACTCGGATACCTTATAATCTCTGTTTCTTTCCGCGCGACCGACTCTCCCGCAGAATTCATTTTTTAAATCCAGATTTTCACCACGCTGTGCGTTGGAAGCTCAAGCTTTAGATTAGATTAAGTCCGATTAGGTCAAATAGAGAGACAGAGAGCATACGACACCACCGAAAGGAGATTCAAGCTCGCTAATTACCCAGCCTGCCGGAAACAACACCGAGAACTAATCAGCACCATTTAAAAGGCTATACTCGTCGAAACGATTCGCGGCTCGATTCGTTTTCATCATCTCTTATCATCGCTTCTTTCCTGACCGTGCATACGCACTACATCCTGATCGTTATACACACTTAATAGCCTTTCTCTTCGAGGGATCTGTTCGCGTGACGTGGATTTCA